CCTTTGGATGCCCTTGTTCGGTCACAATTGTCAGTTTGCTTACCCATACATGTTTAGTGAATGGGATGAAAAGGAGTTGCATTTGTAGTTTGACAATACGAGATCTCTTGGTCTCAAGAAATTCAACCCTCCACACTACATTTTTCTCCTAGTTCAGAGTGATTGTCTCCTCCTGTTGGCATTATGATTGGGCAATCGTAGGATTTGCAGGTTTGTGCGTCGCTTAGGCAACACATTAATGGCGATTACTTTGATTAACTTGAGAACGAAGAGAATTGTTGAGTCAGATTCCCACGTCGCTAGGCTTGGAAATATGGAAATTGCTTTGGTAAACCTTCATAGAGGGGTTGAGAATCAAACTTTGCTAGCATTGCGGAGGCTGAACCGGAGGTTACTTTCAGAAGCTCGTGCTTTTTTTACAAGAGAATGTCACCATGCAGACTGATTAATCAGAGCTTCTTATAATTTTTTTAAAAACCATTCTTTTACCATTAGAAGTATTGTTGGTACAGTCCTCCTCGGGAAAGGATAAATGAATTATTGTTTCGGTTTTCCGACTAAAAATGTTAGGCATGTATTATTGACATGATTAAGGGAGAAGACCTGCATTTCTATGCCCTTCCTACTCTTTCCAATCGCATGAGTATCCTAAGGTTTGGCCGTTGCCACTCTTTGAGGCTCATTCTTACCTGAATGTTAGTGTGTCAATATCTCCTCTCCTTCCTACATAAGGTGTTAATTGGGTACATTCTCTACTAGGTAGACAAAAGTGGTTGATTGCCTATATGCCGCAACGTGGAAGATGAACTGTACACACCTCAAGTTCCATACAAATCCATCCTCAAGTTGGACTCATTATAAGATGCTTACTTCTCTCTATCATCTTTTAATCTCCACGGGAGGAAGGGTTCTAATGCCCGTGACTATGTTTTTTACTCCTAACGAGTGTGCTGCAAGTAGATAAAATCTGTTTGTTTTCGTTTGAGGAGAGAGTTTCTTGCTTTATTTTGGGGCTTTGTCCCACCTCGGTTTGTTTAAGTACAAAACTTAAATGCTGTTGGTCATCTGTTTGTTGTAGAAGAATATTAACATTGCGCTTGAATTGGACCCAACCAATGCCTACTGCCACATTTTAAAGGGTCGCTGGTGCCTTGAGGTGGGTTCTATTCTCTTTCCTCATTCTCTATGTTACCTGAGAATTATGAACATTTTTGCCATTGGATTCTCTGAGGTAGGAGGATTATCGAGATCCACCGAAGATATTGTCCATTTACTGACGCAAAGTCCACCTGTCCACAAATTAAACCACTCCACGTCTTCTCCTCCGGCTTAGAAGCAATCAGTCCGCTTGCCATATGACTTGTTGTAATTACAGTTATTTTGACTCGATCAGGAACGTATGCGTGATCATGGCACTGATACAGTGCAGAGTTCGGAGTGGATGCAACAAAATGCCATTTGTACAACCTCTGTAATGTCAGGCTAGTGCTGTTTATGTTGAACAGCCTTTAACTTACGTGTCGAAAGCCGCCGCAAGCGTTCGAATTCATTGAGGTTCGTATCGGAGGGGTTGAAAAATTGTACTAGCATGAGAAGTCCAGACCGTCCACTACTGGATGCTTCAGATTACATTGATCTTCCAAAACTGGTTTCCTACACTCGAGAAATTGCAAAGCTTGTTCGCGCACTCACCCCAAGGCTACTACCTAACTATTAGTTCAATCCGAGATAATCTATCCTTTCTTACCGCTATGCTGCACTGGAAATTCTAATTCTCTTTGAGACCTTTCCTACCGTTGCATATGCAGCCTCTTGTTCTCGAAGGCTCATAGACAAACATTAACAGAGTGAACACAGCAAGTAAGGGCAATATTCGGTGCTCTTACTTGGGATGTTAGCAAAGTAGAATTTTTGTTTAGTTGGTAGAACGAGGAGCGAAATTTCCACCTCCATTATTAGCATTGATCTCTGCCATTGTATTTTCGTTGGTGTCATGCGACGGTGTTTTATTGCGGTAGAAGTTTATGAGTGATTAGGCTCACAAATTGTGGGGAGTGAGGGTTTTCTTGGGTGGTTTCGAGTGGCTGTCACTGATTGATAGAATGATTTTTTGAATGTGAGGAGGTAAGGAGTGTCAGAGGCTGTGCTTAAAGTGTTGAAAGCAAGTGAATGGTCACTACCAAAAGATAGCTTTTTGAAATACTTTTTGACAATGTATTCTCCTGTCGCCTTACCAAACCTTCTTCAGACCGCATACCGCGCCACGCAAGATACTTCTGCATCTTAGAGTTGAGCCTAACAAGCCTAACAACGTGGATCCACCACGTTTGCATCCATCGCGTTTGATCACCTCGCACTTCACTACATGAGACATGGATCGAAAGAAGGAGGGAAGAAGCGAAGGCGCAACAATGGGTGGCATATTCTGTCACCTCTACCTCGTAATGCATAAAGCTGAGTAACTGTTTTGACAACTTTTTAACCAACGTTGGTGGTACGCAAAGTGGGACAGAGTAGAAATTTGGCCGACGCTTAATTCTCATTTGAAAATTATTTCAACATAAAAGTGAACCTAGCCTTTTCACCATTGTAGGAGACTCAGAGCTCTTCATAGCCTCAAAATGGATCTAATGAGTCATCAAACCAGTTGAATGGATAGATGCTTTTCTAGTTTAATTGTCCACGTGTTCTATAGGTAATGGTATGACTCTGCCACGATCAGTAAATGCTCAGGATGGGGTAGAGTCGAACATCATATTTATTAACTGCTGGATCTTTCAAGTATTTCATAAGACTAACTTGAAACAAAAGCTGAGGATGAGACCTCTTACTTCAACAGCTCCGGCATTCGAGTGGTGTTTGAATTTGAATTTCACCTTCCACTCCTCTTCTTATATCGTGGTATTCACAGAGTGGATGCGTCACTGAGTTAGAGTGAAAGAACGAAGAAGGTGAAGAAGTAGGCACAAATGTAACAAATGCCTTCAAGCTATTTCTCTGCTTATTTCAAATTTGGAATTGTTTATTCTCATTGTGTTGATTGCCTTTAAGGTTTACAATCTCTCTTGGCTTGAGCGTCAGTTTGCTTCGCGTCTGTTCTCAGCTCCACCCACGGCCACCCTTGAGGAAGCCATGGCTGAGTTTTTAGAGGTGCGTGT